TTAAAAAAAATTTCATATAACATAAAATACAAAATTTCCAAAACATCAAACAAAATCAAGAAAAATATCAAAACATAAATCATTCAAAAAGAGGAAAAATAAATAATTAAAAGAGATGAAAGAACTACAAATGGAAAATGAAAAAAAAATCGTTACCCAAAAAGTTACAAAACATAAAAAAAACAAAAATTTCCATTAAGTTAAACAATAAATAAATAAAAAGGGTAAACATAAGTGATTCACAAAATTATTAATTTAGATTGTGACATGTGTCAATATTAACAAAATCTTAAAAATTAAAATAAGAAATATATTCTAAATAAAGATTATAGACTAATTAACAAAAAGGAAAAAACCATCATATTAAAATAGGTAATATTTCTAAATTGTTATATTACAAAATACATTCTTTCTATTTCAAATTATTTAAATAATTAAAGACCAAAAGGAGATGTCATATTATAAGTGTTATTTTGCTAATATAATAACGTGTATGAGACAATTTTGGTATGAAATAAATATATAAATTGATGATTTAATAAATTATAAAAATATATAATAATAAAATAAATATTAAATATTTGTGCGAATCGTAATATAGAATTAATTACATTTGTCAAACTAGCTGGCCACACCAATAGGAGTTGATTTTTTCTCGAAAATTTTCCAATGTCCAAGTCAGACAACAACTTGGAAGAATATGAAATTATTTCTTCCACCAAAAAAAAAAATGGAAGAAATGAGGGTCAATTTACTTAATAACCATAAAAAATATTAAAACCTATAAACTAACCAAAATTCCTAGTGGATTTGATCAAAGGGAGATTTGAATATCTGTTTTTTTAATTAAAAAAAAAAAATCAAATGATGGAAAATGTAGTGGGCTAACACGCAGATCAAAGGGAGGTTTGAATATCTGTAAATGATTACCAGTCTACACATGGAAATAGTCATATTATTTTGAAAATGTTTACTTGGTAGGATGTCCATTATAAAAACCCTAATTAAGAGCTCAACACACAAAACAATACTGTAAAGAAAAAAAACACAAAAGCACCATGAAAGCTGCAATCACCTTCATGATGGTCGTGGTCATTACAGCATCTGTCCCTGTCCTAGGCCAAGACAACATGGTTTTGGAAGTCAATGGGGATCCGCTTAAAATTGGAGACCCATATTCAGGGCCGTGCCTACATTTTCGGGGGCCTAAGGCGAAATTCATATAAGAAAAAATTATTTTTCAAATTTCAGAAACATTAAATATTTTAATTATATTAATGAATATACAACTTATTTAGTTATATTTTAATGTTTTAAATATTATATTTTTAAAGTAAAATATGTTAAACAGCAATATATATCTATCATTTTTTTTCTAAAACTCATTATCCATTAGTTTCTTAAATTATCATAAATATTTTTACATTATTAATACTAGGAATATGTATAAAGCTTAACTAATGTAAAACCAATTGCCATGTTGATTAAAGAAATTAGTGATATAGAACGAAAGAATTCTATAACAATTTGGAAATATCAACCTTCAATACAACGTAACAAGGGAATAGGTCAAACTAAAAGTGGAAATATAAGTATGATTTTGCAACAGAATTTTGAAATTTCCATGATTAGGGGCCCTAATATTTAGTGATCAAATGCGGGGCCCAAGGCAAATGCCTTAATTTTTGTACATTAGGCACGGGCCTGCCCATATTATATCAAACCCGAGTCTGTATTTGGAGAAGGAGTATGGCTTTCCTTTTTCAGGCAACGCCTGGAAACTCCATGTCCTCAATTCGCTGTACTGTCCGGAAGTACGTTGATCACACCACGCGAACCTGTTGCTTTCTTTACGGAGTCGTCAATATCAAAACAAGAGTCAAGTCGTTTTGTGTATGAATCCACCCAGCTCGTTTTCAGTTTCCAACGGATGGACGATTTCTGTCCAGGTCAGACCGGGTATTGGGAAGCCGGTTACCGGTATGATAGGATCATGGGTATTAACTATTAAGGGGACAGGGGAAAGGAGTGGTGACTACAACCGGTTCAACATCAAGAAAAGCAGAGGCGGTTACTTGATTAATCATTCGGGCGCTAGTGATATCACAGTTCGTGAGTACCACCTCGGGGAAGAGTTCATTTTCTATCTGGACGTTGGTGGTACTGGCAGCCTTTTGTTGTGAAATTTGTGCCGGTTAACCAACGACCCTGGAACCGGATGGCGTCAAACCAAACCAAAGATACTTGAGTAGGGATGTTAAAGCGGGCTGGCCCGGCCCGTTTAGGCCCAGCCTGTTTACCGTCAAATCCGTTTAAACCTGTTTAACAAAAAGCTCGTTTAAAACCCGTTTATGCTTAAGCCCTCTGGATTTAATATAGCTCGTTACCCATTTACAGAATATTACAATTTTTGTAATATTATATTTAACTAGGTAAATGACCGGTATATATGCGGGTTTCTGATAG